AAAGACTCAACGCCAACAATCGATGGTCAGCTAAAGATTAGAAAATCAGGAATCGACTTCAAGTTTAAAATTCCGACAATGGTCAGACAATAAATGCAGCACCGGAACTCTTACAGACATTCGACAAAGCACCGAATAGCCTGGAGGATTGAAGGAATCAAGAACAGAAGCCATTCCAAGGTCCCGTTACACCGACTGAAGGTTGGGACAATCATATCCAAAGTATTACAGACTCTTCTATAAAAGAACGAGGCTGAAATACTTTGGAGGGTGTATCTGTAGGCATATAAAATTGCTTATAGGTCCCTTAGCACAGCTCGGCATAAACCGACGAACCAACGAGGCGACGAGGTTGACGAATCGCACGCAAGCAACGGAATACATCCATTCGCGTGTGGAATCAAGCCAAGTGTTCGAAGAGTCAACGAGTCATCCAACCAAGGGCAGACTCGGACGAATCACGATCGAATCAAGATCAGTTTCGAACTCGAACTCAGAAGTGGATTTACTGCCAAATCAGGAATCGGATCGACTGCCAAATCAGGTCAACGAGTTAAGTCCGGATAAATCAACCACAACCGAATCACGGACTGAACTGAAAACGGGAAAAGACAGAAAACCCAACACCTAGGGGACTCGGCCAAAACCGAGCCACCTCTAGGTAGCTCGGTGGCCGAGCCACCTATAGGTGGCTCGGTGGCCGGGCCACCCATGGGTGGGCCGGCCACCCTGTGCCCAACGCAGTTGGATTTTTTTGGAGGCGAAGCCCTGCTTGATTGAAAACTCAGATCTAAAAAAGATTCAAACTTTAGGGCTTCGAGGACTTGTTCATCCAGATCTGGTGCTCGGCGATCGTCAACGCCAAATAAGGCAAGAGTTCGAGAGGACCGGATCTCAGATCTACACAGGTGTACTCCGGATCAAAGCTTGGCCTTTGATCCCGAGATTTGGGCGATTGTTTCCTTGGTGAATCAATCCCTCCGGCTGTTATTTCCTTGGTGAAATAATACTCGTCGTACTGCGTAGATCCGACTGGATCTAGATCTCGTGGTGGTCCACGGATAAACCCCGGCGCAGGCAAAGAACCCACAAAGCGAACGACCGCAAAACAGGAGCTCGCGATTTGTTCGACAAACAAGGATAAAAAGTTGTAATCTTTCTTTTCTTTTCTTTGATTTTCATTGTAACCGGATCTAAAAAAGACCGGATCTTTTGTAACTCAAAAAATTGTTATTTAAGATAGCAATGGAATCAATGAAGAAAGACACGATTTTTCCCGCGAACACCTACCACAATCAATTGTCACATTCCCAAATGACGACAATTGTCAAAGGCGGTTCGGCAGACGACCTGTCTGTCGGTTCCCCAGGCAACAACTCGCCAAGAGGTGAGTTGAAGTTGAAGTTCTTCAGTTGGCCGCAGGAACGAGCGATTGTTCTTTACTGCAAGCCAAGTGCTGCTCTCTCAATTCCATTGAAGCTACAACGCGAAGATCGGAGTTAACCCAATCCCACGCTGTGAGCAACAGAAGGCAGAACAAGAGCCTAAAACGACTAAATCCAAAACAGAATAGTCAAAGGCTCGCCAAGTTCAACTCATAAGTTAATCAGAACAAAAAAAAATGGTGTGGACCTAGACGGCGCGAGCATTACAGGAATTTCAACAAGCTAAAGGAACCGATCTTAGCTTTGAGCGCAGCACGCTCCGCCGCACGACGGATCCTCGCCTTCTCCTTTTGCTCCTGCTCCCGCCTGGCTATGTCCACCTTGCTGTCCTCTTCCTCCTGGCGAAGGAGTTGGAGCGCCTGGTCCACTGTCGCGGCAACCTCGCTGAGCCTCCTCACCTCGAGCTCACGCTCCCTCAGTTTCGCCTCACCGCGAAGAGAGCCAGCGTCCTCGAAGAAAGCCCTGTCTAGGTAAGCGTCCATCCGGTCCAGTACCGCTTGGTGTCGCTTCCGCAGACGTCTGAGTTCGGCCTCCTTTGCCCTAATCCGCTTCGCCCGCTCCTCACGCTCAAGCAGGAGGTACAGTGGAAGGGGCGGCGGCACGTCGGAGGGATCATCATGGGCCAATTCCTCGAGGCGGTACATCCACCCCTTCACGCGTTCAAGCTCCCGCTCGCATCGCCGTGTGAGCAAGGCATCACCCGCACGGCGGACCGCCTCTAGACCCGCTTCCACGAGAGGAAGCGCATCGTAGTATCGCCCGTCGCCCACGCTGACTGAGAGGGCGATCCCATGCACCAAGCCCACCAAGCTCTGGAGAGGCACGAACGCGGGGTGAGCCACGGGGTCCGGAACAGAAGATCTCGGGACCAAGCTCACAGGGGGAGCAGCCGGAGCGCCGACGTCGACGACGGTGGCGGAAGAACCGACACCCTCAAAGTCGCTGTGATCGGAAAAAGAGGCCATGGGGAAGAGAAGTTTTCCGCAGAGATCTTCTTCTAGCAGATTTCTTTCAAAGCAATAAGGACTCTGCCGAAGAAGCGGCGATTACGGATATATATTCAAAAAAAAGTAAAAAAAAAATGGTGCGACGGCTGAGATTCATCACCCCAAGCGATCAAGCGGTCCAGACGTCCTGCGACGCTTCGAACTCAACGCCAATAAAGGCTATTCCTCTCGAGACTCCAAACCGACCGATCGGATTGGACACGAGAGGCGAAGCGTTCGGTCGCTTCGCCATTAATGAGCATTAGTGCGCCCGCAGAGTGTTAGCTGGCAAGCACTTGGGCCCGCAGACGGACGCATGGCACGAGCTTCGCTCACGGTGGATTTCTGACTGTTGGCCAAACTCACCACCATCCAAGTTTTGCCTGTAGTGTAAACTCGCCATCATACGAGTCTCGCCTAAGGCTCAGATTCGCCACCGATCGAGTTTGGTCTTCAACACAAACTCACGATCTCACGGGTTTCGCCTGCAGTGTAAACTCGCCAGCAGTTGAGTTCAGCCATTTACTTGAACTCGCCAGCAATTGAGTTTAGCTTCCAAGCAAAACTCGCCGCGATCGAGTTTCGCCTGCAGACAAACTCGTCAATCAATTGGGTTTCGCCAGCGGCGTGAACTCGTCAGGAGCCGAGCTTCACCATCTTAGCGAACTCGCCGTCGCCCTAGTTTCGTCGCCAGCGTAAACTCATCAGGATAGAGTTTGGCCTCGAAAGTAGGCTCGTCGTCATGAAAGAAGCTTCGCCTGCAGTACGAGATTGTCGGCAACTACAAAGCGAAACACTGGAAAGCGACATATCCAAAGAATATGCACACAATGAGCGGGCACAAACCTCATTGATGCTTTAAGACAGTACATTTGAACAAAGTTATGGTTTTTGCAATTGCGAAAGTCATAATATTACGTTCAAAGAAGAAAAACATGCACCCAGTGTTTAAGACAATACATTTGAACAAAGTTATGACTTCATAAACAAAGAAGTCATAAACAAAATGTCTTAACACAATCACAAGGCAAAGGTCTTAGTCGAACACGCTAAAAGTGGAGATCTCTTCTTTGGCCGCCTCCACCTGGCTCGCGTGGTCCTCCCGAGCCTTGTTTTCAGCAGCCTTCCGAATCCGGTCTTCACGGCTCGACCTGGCGGCAGCATCTGCCTGGCGTAAGGCTAGCAGGCGTCGAGTTTCTACCTCAGTGTTCTCACTGACCTTAACGACGTCGGACTGGAACCCCTTCCACTTTGCCTCCGCCTGTCCCAATTCGGCCCTCAGGCGAGCCATAGTGCGATTGAGGTCAATGATTTGCTCCTCTAGCAAATGTTGTTGACCCACCCAAAAGTTGGCGACAGACTCCAAATCCGCTATTTCTTTGGAACGGGTCTCCTGCTCCAGGGCTTCCTGATGCCTAACATGAGCCAGGCAAGATTCCATGTTGGCTTCCGGACCTTCC